GGGCACGTGGGCCCGAGGGTGAATTATCGACTTTTAGAGCGGAGTTGAAAATTGTTGCGAATTTGATTATAATGAGTATTAGAGTACATATTTATAGATTTGAACATTTATTGAGTAGTTTTGGAGCGTTGGGCATCGGTTTGTGTTGTTTGAAAGGCTTGGGAGCTGGCTATGGAACTTCAGCGCGAGGTAAGTCTTTTTTCTAATCTTGTAAGAGAAAATTAACCCCATAGGTGAATTGAATTCATGTGTGCTCTTAATTGCGAGGGCTACACACATACGAGGTGACCAGAGTTCGTATGTAGCTACTAATTATGCTTATGTCCGGGTAGTCTAGGACCCAAATCATGTTATACTTGCGATGTTTGCAACCTACTTGTTAGTTTAACTGCTTAAATCATATTGGAACTTGACAAAGAAATTGTAAAAGTTTAAACCTCATCTAATTGAGTTTTGGATGAGTCACTTGACCGTTAATGAGAATTGATATTTCTTTGAACATTAACCTTTAATAAATGTTGAATTGGTTGTTTTAATGTATTTTCTCTTCTTGTGGAGCGACCCGAATGCCTCAGTAGCAGATAGATGCATCAATGGTTCATGTCGTTCGACCCTCGGCAATGCACAGTTTATATTTATATGTTGGATCGGGGCGTACGACCTCGGCATGATTTGCACATGATAAATCTTTACAACTAATAATAATTGATATTGCTTTATCGACTTGAGATATAAATTGTTAAATGACGAAAATAAATTTGAAAATTTCCTATTAATAAAAGAATTGTTTACTTACTTCTTATTATTGAGTTTTCAATTATTTTATACAATCCATGCTTAATTATAATATCGGTATTTTATTGTTGGCCTATAGTAAGTGTCGGAATCGACCCCTTGTCACTACTTCTTCGAGGTTAGACTGGTTACTTACAGGGTACGCGTTGATTTACGTACTCATCTACACTTGCTGCACATTTTTGTGCATGCACATATATGTCTAGTGACCTTGTGGGTGAAGAGGTGTGATTAATGCGGGGACTTAGGTGAGCTACATTACATATTACGATCCGCAGCCAGCAGAGTCTCCTTTACAGTTATTTATATTTCCTGTCTAATTTATATTCTGGACAGATGCTATATTTTATTTACTCCCAAGTTGATCCTCATGCACTTGTGACGTCAGATTTGTTCAGTATTTTAGTTGCGAAAATATTATGATTTACTTTGTAAGTTTTATCTTTTACTATTTAATGGAAGGAAATTACGATTTCAAAATACAAAAATGAGTAATTAAATTAATTAAGTATTGTTGGTTTGTCTGACCCGCCGGCCCTTGAGGCTGTGCCGCGCCAGCCTGTTAGGCCTAATAGAAATAATTAATATATTTCAAAGAAAAAGGTAAAAGGAAAATAGTAAAAAGTACTTAGAACCAAGGCTAAACGCAATCAGTAGCCTACAACTAATGTTATCTTCTGCTTTTGGTTGACCCTAACTAGCTTGAGATTGAGGCATAGTTGTTTTTGTTTACAAATAAAACAAACCTAAGCATTTCATAAGTTTGAAAATAACAAACCCAACCAGTAAAAGAAACCATCAATCTGTTGCGACTTGCTTTGGTTTATTTCGGAGAATTTGGGTGGTTTCATGGTTTCTTTGTTCACCGCTAGTTATTCCCTCCGAGTAAATATATAAAAATTAATCCAGACACACATACAAATGAATGATCTTCCAAAAGAGTATTACCTCATTGTCGTTGCTTGCCTTCCCCTTGCCACCAAATAAGCATACAGTTCTGCACAGCTGCGGTCTGTATACACCTACTTTCGCATTAAGGGAGATTTTCGGGAGTCTTGTGCCCAGATAAGTTGAAGATAGTGTCGTCAGTCTTGAAGTCCTTGTTGAAGGTGGTCGCCTTCCTTTGCGCTCGCCGCCCCCTCTCTATCTCCAGAATAAGAGTCTAAAAAAAGAGAAAAAAGATGGAAGAGCAAGTCAGCATGTATCAAAATTTATTTTACGATACATGAAGAGAATCGAAAAGTACCTGTAAGGCCGCACCGGCAACCCTCCGGGATAGTTCCCCGTCGCTAACCCCTTGTAACGTTTCACGCTCAGCGGCCGCATAAAGTAGGGTCATATCCGCTGCGGTCTGCTCGCTGTATTGCAACAGGTTATACCCCCCCCCCGGGATCAGAATTCGACGGTTGGATCTACCTACCGTCATCCCAACACGGGCCGGACCCCGCGTTGACGCTTCTGCATCTGCCTGGGCGACCTCAGGGCCCATCCTCTCGGCACCACCATCCGCCTCTCCGACGGCAGCCGACGAGCCGACTTCCGGAATGCGTGTTGGCCTGGCGTCAGGAACAGCCCCCCTTTGGGGAGCCAACCTCCCAGAACGGATGGCATCCGCCATAAGAACAGGCCGTGACTCCCGACGAGCCTCACTCGCCCCCTCATCTACCATGGCTACCCCCTTGCCGGTTATCAACCGACGTCTCTTTCTTTCCGGCGTCTCCTCACTGTTGGAGGACCCCTCCACAGCCCGAGGGGACGGCATCGAAGGAGTCGCTCCCCTCGCGGACGTCGCCACAGGCAGCGGTTGAGGAACCTCCGTGGCGTCATCACTGGGCGAACCGCAGGGTATGAACCCACCTTCAGAATCGGCCCCCGCCCCAGGTAAGGTGACGACTCTCTTTTTCTTCTTCTTAGAGGCGCTCCGACCTGCCAAAAATGAACAAGTCAGGTAACGAATACGTAAGGAATCCCCAAACAGTAGCCAAAAAATTTTTTTACCTGACGGGCCGTACTGTCGGAGAAAGGCAGCCCAGGTGCGGCACTCCTCCGCATAGGGTATTATTCTTCCCACCCACGGTTTAATGTCATCAACGAGCTGGGGTGGAGAGGCCCTCGCTGCGAATAAAAAAAAGAGAAGAAAGAAAAACAAAGGTCACAATGGCCTTATAGTCAAAAGCGCAAGCGGCACTAAAATTTACAAATAGAAACACTCACGTTCGGGATTCCATTTTTCCGGGAAACCCTCGGGATTCGACACCAGGTGCTCCGTCCTGATGTAGAAATATTTACGCCAAAAACGGCGGTTGGGCTTGTCATCGGCTTGAACAACCAAGCCCTTTGCGCCACGACCTTTCAACTGCAGCATGGTACCCCTCAGGTAGCCAGCGCTGAACAACTGCAAGAGGTGATGGACTGAGACGCTGCACCCAGCCCTGGCCGCATAGGTGGTCATGATACGGCACACCTTCAAAGTATAAGGAGTGAGCTGGGCCGGGCACACATTGTAAAAACGGCAAAGCTCCTCCACCAGAGTATAGACTGGAAGGTCGTAACCGATCAAGAACGGGTACTCGTAGAAGGCGCAATATCTAGGCCGGTACACATTGGCATAATCCGTTCCGGACGGAACCATGTCCACATGGTCCGGAATACGGTGCGTCTCTCGCAACTCGTCTAAATGGGATTGAAGCAAAACGCTGTGCTCCCAGGGAAGATCAAGGCTTTTAGTCGGAAAATCCCTGCGAACGTGCATCTCCTTCGGAAGGACGTTGTCTACGCTGAGTGGAACAAAGGCCTTCTCCGCCTTTTCCCCTTCGCCACCAGAAGATGGCGGAACCCTAGACGGGACATTATCCTTGGCCTTTTTATTATTTTTTCCGTGTTTTGCCATGATAATACTACTTGAGAAACGAAGCACTGACAAAAGGAAGTGTGATTTCAACAGATGTGGGAAAGTCCTTCACGAAATAACAGTTACAGGAAAGAAAGGCAATGGGACACTTTTCAGAGGCTTGAAAGTGGAATCAGATCAAACCTTTCTCATACTTATAAGGATAAATTGCACAGAAATCGAAGAGTCATGATTCAAAACGTGCGCCGGAAACCAAAACGTCACTTCATCCTCTGAACCGCCTCGGGGGCAAACATAATGATGATGCATACAGGCGATGACATCATTCCAAAAAGGAAGCCACGCGTCAGCGGCTCGACAGTGTCAAATGTTTCACTTCATTCATATTGCCGCCCCCGGTCGAGGTCAAATTCTCCCAAGACGAGGTTCGCATTTCCGCCCACCGAAGACGCCCACCAAACGCGTCTCCAACGAGCGGAGGGACTAACTGTATAGGGTCAAATTTGACCCTCGCCAGTAGGTACGCCCAATGAGTGTACGCCGACTAAACGTAGCGGGTACGACTCGGCCGTGAGGACCAAAGCGACGTCGTTTAGAACTCAGCGTCTACACTAGGGAGACGTTACCTATCTCTGTAACTTTTTGATTCTTTCGAGGAAGGTCTCCTATTATATAAAGGGGACCTCCACATTGTAAAGGCCATCAGCTGATCTAATACAACTCTCTCCTTTTCTGTCTTTCTCTCTCTATATCTCTACTTCTGACGAAAATATCTTATGAGCATACATTATCATCTTTGCAACACTAGATCTACAACAATATTATCATCTTTGCATCTCTTTACGATTTACCCCTTCTCTATTTTTTGATTGTTTTATCGCTTACAAAGTATATCATTAACTTTTGAGCCAAACAGTTACTATCAGTGTAGCCTACCTACATAAGAGGGTGTTTGGGTGGATTTTTGACTTATCAATTTGGTTTTAGTTACATAAAAAATGTTTTTAAGTCAAAAGATGCTAAAAATTACTACTACTACATAGAAGCATATGGACTCTTTTTCCTTGCTTTTTTGGGACTAATTTGAAACTTTTTTCTGCGAGTTTGATTTTGTATTGTAGTATTATTTAGTTTATGATGATTTCCTACAAGAAAGTAATAAATAATAAAAGAGATCTCTAAATAAAACATAAAAATTTACATAAGCTCATTTTTTTCTAGTTGTAAATGCTTAGAAGATCATTTCATACTCTTGGATATTAGGTGGATGTAATTGATACTAGTATTTTGTAACTGGAAAAGCAGGCAACTTTTACCAGAAGAATAAGACGAACTAATTATTCAGAGGAACATAAACACGGGTCTCCCAATCCTATTTGCAACAAAATAAGAGATAAATGATCTCTGAATCATACAGGAACCCGAAATAAAAACACTTGAAATTTACTGATGAAGCAAAATTCCGAAGATTAAAATGGCATTTGTGATTACAGCAGGTTTTTCTAGTCTTCTTTCTCTCTTACTAAAGAAAACTGTTTGAACTACTGCATAACTTGAGAGATAGAAAAGGTTGAACGGTTTTGCTTTCAATAATAAGAACTCGATTCTAACCTCCTGAGAATGCTCCTATACTTTGCAGGGCTATCATACCAAGTAGTTGTATTAATAATTTCACTTTCCAACCAATATGGATCATCTTTCTTCTCAGTCAGGCTTCTGAAGTAGCTTTCCCACCGTGCAATTGTGCGCCCTAGACGAATACTCTTTCGCCTTAGAAAGATAAACTTGAGAATGTCCTTTGTGAACACATTGATCTCCTCGCCTTCAATTATGTAGATGTACTGAAATGAAGTACAACTTTAAAGTCAAGAGTAAGCAAACTACATGTAACAGTTAACAACTTGCTTCGTGTGCTATTACTACAACAAGCAGACACTTGTGGTTGGTTTAAAACCCTTTCAAGACATTTTCTTTATTTGAAGCATTCCACACCATCAGATGAGAGATCTGGCGGAAGATCTATCAAAGGCTAAACATAAAACACATGATTATCATAGGTTGTTCCTCTTTATTCAGTCGGTCACGCTACAACTCTAGCTGGTCCATGACTTACCAGAAATGGTTTAGACAAAAAGGTATTTAGTTAAGTTAGAATAAGTTTTGGATAAGCCAATAGCATAAAATATCGATGAGAGAGAGGACAATTACCAAAAATATGAAGCCCATAGTTGCCAAGACAGCCTGTACTAGCTCATCCAAGATCCCAGAAATACCTTCATCTGGCTCACCAGAACCGTCACCGCCTCCACCACCGCCACCACCTGGGCGATCGCCACCCCCATCTCCTCCTTCATAATATTCTTGTTTTTTAATCTGTTGCTTCAATAAATCCTCAACTGACGGTTCCTTCTTCAAATTTCCCATGGCTTTCTCAAGAGCTTTCCAAGGAGAAGCCTGGTCAGATAGTAGTGCCAACTGAGGTGTTATCTTCTCATATGTTAAACATCCATAAGCTTATTTTGCTCAACTCATGATTTTCAACAGAATGTTAGGAGCTACTTTATACTCATGTTTTATGCAGTTTTATGGAAAGAAAACCAGCTAAAGATGCATATGCTGTGCGTTCAAGGAGAAAAGAGTCATCTGTTGTTAGCTTTAAAATTGCAGCACAATATATCTACTCCGCAAGGATAAACGACGAGCTGAAACAATTCACACAACATTGTAACAAGAAACAGATTTCTTTTGAAAAATAAGGAGAAGAAAAAATGTGAGACGATCAAATGGGAAGCAGATTATATACGCTCCCTGTGCAAATTCAAACACCCAAATAAAATAAAATAAGAGGAAAAAATAAACTGAACCTTAAAAGACAACTTTATAAGAAATGTTAAGGTTTTCTTAAAGCAACTAAAATTAATACACCATAACTGATAAGTTATGGGCACATGACATGCGCAACACATTGGATAGATAACCTAAACAATGTGGGGTGCCAACTAGCATTCGTACATGAAAGGTCGTATCATCAGCAAAGGGTTGCCCACTCCTTAACCTGCCTTATTTTGTGAGAGACAAGACAACTGTCAAGCTGATACCAAGTAATTGGTGACTTAATAAAGCAGCATCATTAGGTCATATAGGCGATCTGACTAGTTTGGGTTTGAGGCATCGCTTTCGTTGCTGTTGTATTAAGCCACATTGCAAGATACTACACTATGACATTACCGAGGAATATGGAGAAAAAGGGTTAGGCAATTAAAAGGGTTGAAAGAGGCATTGTCTACTTTCACCTTTCTCCTAGATTATTTTTAACTGTCTTCATCGTTTTTAGATTCCATGCTATGGAAAACAAAAGCAATAAAGATGAGTAATTAAGTAGAAATAAGAAGAAAATGAGAATAACCATATATCAGAGGATTATGTATAGCAGATCTGGGAGTCACAACTGGCCAGTTGATGTTTCTTGATACACACAAGGAAGTAGAGCCGTCATGCTTGGCCCGTGAGGCCAGCCCAACCCCATGACTTGGGTAGGGGTGGGCTAAGGTTATTGTAGCCCATTTAGAACTGAGGCTTCTAAGCACAACCATAATCAGCCCGCCGGCCCTTGAGGCTGTGCCGCGCCAGCCTGTTAGGCCTAATAGAAATAATTAATATATTTCAAAGAAAAAGGTAAAAGGAAAATAGTAAAAAGTACTTAGAACCAAGGCTAAACGCAATCAGTAGCCTACAACTAATGTTATCTTCTGCTTTTGGTTGACCCTAACTAGCTTGAGATTGAGGCATAGTTGTTTTTGTTTACAAATAAGTCATTCTCTCCAACCTTTTCTATCTATCTTTAGAAGTAGGGCGAGAGAAAGTCAATATGATATTTGCGTTGGTGACCAGAAGAATTGTGTGAAATAAGTGAATTTATCCAGTTGAGGCATTCTTGATTGATTGAGACAAAACGGTGAAATAAAACATCATATGTAAGTAAGTAGCATCTAGAATAGAATCCAGAGCAGCTAAGAAAAAAAATCGAGTAGCTTGCGGGCCGGTCGGCTGAAGTTCGACGCAGAGCTTTTTGGTTGTTAAGTTATAGCAGGACTGAGCAACATCCAACAGCGTAAGTCCTTCTGGTTTGCACTAAAGTGGCTTAAGTAGCGGGTCGATAGTAGCCGTGGTAGTAATGCCCCGGAGCCCAGCTACCGAGTGGATTAAAAGAAAGAACAGACTCATATGAAAGTTCCCCAGAAAAAATGGCTGTTGTTGAATCATTCCATACCGAATTGAGCAATGTTGTGCTAGGTGGGTTTCGTGACACAAGATGATGTGCTTTTTCCACAAAAACAAACCTAAGCATTTCATAAGTTTGAAAATAACAAACCCAACCAGTAAAAGAAACCGTCAATCTGTTGCGACTTGCTTTGGTTTATTTCGGAGAATTTGGGTGGTTTCATGGTTTCTTTGTTCACCGCTAGTTATTCCCTCCAAGTAAATATATAAAAATTAATCCAGACACACATACAAATGAATGATCTTCCAAAAGAGTATTACCTCATTGTCGTTACTTGCCTTCCCCTTGCCAGCAAATAAGCATACAGTTCTGCACAGCTGCGGTCTGTATACACCTACTTTCGCATTAAGGGAGATTTTCGGGAGTCTTGTGCCCAGATAAGTTGAAGATAGTGTCGTCAGTCTTGAAGTCCTTTTTGGAGCAGTAAGTGATGGAAAGGAAGCATTGAAATCGCAGGCAGGATGACAACTGTTTATGCGAACGCAGCTCATCTCATCAAATAACCAGTCACTTACAAGACCTAATCACATCATTCAAAACAGTTGCTTCAGCAAATAAATCTGCATTTTTGCCCTACATTTAATGATTTAATAGAAGCAATGCTTTACGCCAAAATTTTTTTTTACCTAATTCAATCCTATATGTCAAAACCCTAAACACTACTTTGAGTCCTGAGCTTGTCAAACCTTAAATACTGAAGATGTTACATACTTCCGCAAATTGTAGTTTTGAATTCAAACTTTTGTGATCAGAATCTCAGAACAAGAAGTAAAAGACTGAATCTTAAGGAGGAGAATGTAGAGTTTACCGGAGAAATTGGACGCCGGCGGGCGAAGTGAACAGAGATAAAACCACCGGAGTTAACTTCGAACGGAGATTAATAAGATAACGTGGAGTTACTATGCAGCCTACCTACATAAGAGTAAGGGTGGCAAACGGTCCGGGCCCGATCCTAAACGGGACTCACGGGCCGGTCCTAAACGGTTCGATTTTATGTGGGCCCGGGCTTCATGGTCCGAGTTTAAACGGTTTCGGGCTTCGTTAGCTTTTGGGGTGTAACCAGATCGCGACCACGAACTAATGGTCCCAGTCTATATGGACCGGGCTCGGTCTTAAATGGACCTAAGTGGGCCTTGATTATTTTTAAAAAAAAATTATCTAAGGCAATTTCTTGTAAATTATATATATATATATATATATATATNCTATTATTTGTTTAAATTTTTTATCTATGACATTTTCTTGTAAATTATATTATATAGTTGTGACTTAAAAAATTTTAATTCAAATTTAAAACACAAAATATTGTAAAAAGATATTTAAAGGAATGCGTTATAATTTTGGTGTCCCAAGTCACCGGTTTATTTTAAAATCCCAAATCGAGGAAATTTCGACTTTCCTTTTGAAGTCTGTGAACCAGAAATTCTGAATAAGGAATTCTGTTAACCCGAGGGAAGGTGTTAGGCACCCCCGGATTCCGTGGTTCTAGCACGGTCGCTTAAACTATTACAATTGGCCTATTATCTAATTTTAATACATGGTTTAGCCTATGGTGTATTTTTAGCTTATTAAAAAGCTTTTAATTATTTTTAGGAAGATTCAACGTTATCTAAAACACGTCTTGAACCACGTCACATGAAATGCACCCGCGGTCCACGACACATTTATCTAACGTTGTTGAGAATTGGAGTTGGGTCACATGAAATGCACGCCCGAGTTTAGGAAATTATTTTTTTAAAATAGCGCGCCTAAAGCAACTAAGCACTTTCAAGTTAATAACAAGGTTTGCGAGGGCCATGGAAAATTCAACTAATGGCACGCCTCGATTTCTAAAGAGTTAAAATTAATTAATTGAGGGCCATGGGTTTTGAGATTTTATTCGGCATGGCACGCCTCGAATTATTTCAAAAGGGTTTATTATTCGAAGTTATTATAATCGGGTCACATGAAATGCACTCCCGAATTTTGGAAATTAGGCATCATAACTATGTCACGGGAACCGTACCCAAAGCTACGAATGTTCATGATTATTTTCCTAAGTTTCGGATTATAAGCTTAGAGGACTCATTCTTAAATTCCGTAGCTCAAGATATTGGTTTTGGGCCTTGCACAAAAGCTCACACCCCTACCAAAAACATGCAGTTCTAACATGTAGTAACTCTTCTGTTAGTAAGTCTCACAAGTCAAAAAGGGACAAACTAATTGAAATACAAGAGTATCTCTGAAGGAGGAAGAAAGGATCATAGTGTTATAGAGTTGATGCAAACAAAAATAAATCATCTTTTTGTCCTTTCATAGAAAAATCTGCAGCAAGACAAGATAGAGCTCGAATATCCCATTTGGCAGTATGCTAGTATATCTTCATTCATTAATGCATTGTACTTGAAAAGCAAATGTATTAGAAAGAAGACAAGTTTGACGTGTGTGATGTGTCCAATTTGAGGATCAGTTCTTCGTGGAGGATTCAGTACAGCACTGCTAAAATATTTTGAATTAAAAGTGCTTCAGGAGAGGTTATGATGGCCCAGAAATATAAGAGGTGCATTAGAAAGAAGACACGCCAACATTTTCCAAGTAGATGATACTCCCTTAAAAGATATCACAGTAGTGTCTTTGTTCTCTGTCCTTGCAACTAAAGTGCAAGGATCTTAATCCCGACACTCTTGCTACTAAAGTGCAATGATCTTAAATCCCAAAAACTCTTGCCACTAAAGTGCAAGGATGTTAACTGCCAAAACACATTATCAAATTTAAAACAAAGCTCTAAAATTAATTTAAAAAAAAAAACAAGCATGCTGCAACATTACCATTATTCTGATAGAAACTCAAGCAAGAACTACTATTGTGGAACGGAAACACATTAGTAAAGCTCACACGATACATCTCTAATACAAAAAAATTCCGGAGGCGTGGATGTAGTTAACAAAAGAACATATGATTTTGAAACGGAATATTCTCCGCAGCTGTTTGAATATTGGACTAATACCCGGAAATAAGCTGGGAGGCCTCCCCTCACGGAGATACAAGAGATGAAAGATCAACTGAGGCTTGTTAGACAACCACCCATCAAGAAACATAAACACATAATTTCTCTCTATATGATGCTATACAAAATTAAAACATTCAAGAAAAGCCCAAATGTGGTAGGTGATCAGTAGATAAACACAACACTAAGACAACTCATGAAATTCAGCAAATCCAATTATATAACTCAAAAGTAAATACAGAGATCTGGTGTGTACCTATTTGCAAGGAAAATCAGCTAAACCAAACCAAACCCAGATCTGAAACTGGTTGAACAAGAAAACTTGAATAGAACTGATTAAAAAACGAGACCAACTTGAATGAAGCTCAGCCCAAAACTCCAGCAAACAACACCAGCAAGCAAATCTCACAACTTTGAAATAATCTTTAACGGCTCCATCGAGCTTAAACCCTGCTTGAAACCACTCGATTTCTCAACCGAGTTCGCCGGAGAAGGAGATTAAAAGAGCAGCAGTCGGAGCGCGGCCTCAACTCGCCAAAGAAGACGACCGAATCGAAGTTGGAGGCCTTTTCCAGTAAATAAACATAAACAAATAATGGGAATTTTTGAAGGAAAATGAATTACTGCATTGATGATTGTTTCGAAGTCTTTTTGACTGATTTTCGCTGATTTTTCGATCTGATTTCAAGGTGATTTGGGGATTGGAGGAGATATTGGCTGGAAGATGACTGGAGGAGCTATTTTAATTTGGTGGTGAAGATGGTACTCAGTCCACAAGAACAAGGAAAGCTGCCGTTATTTTTTTGAAAGAAAATCGGAATCTTATCCTCCTCCCTTAGGTCTTTTTTTTTAATGTGTTTTTATATGTAGGGGTAGGGTAAAGGGTAATGGGTATTTGGGTAGTGGTATTTAGCTTTTGGGCCTGGTTTGGGCAGATTTAGTATAGGATTTGACCCAAATTCAAATTAAACTCGTTTTCTAATTTTCTTTTTTTATTTTCTAATTTTTCCCTTTTCTTTTAATTAAAATCCTACAAATTAAAAACCTAAATTATCTATATTGTAAAACTAAATTAATTACTTAATTACAAAAATTATAAAAGTTACTTGATCCTAAAGAGAAAAGTCAATAATCTAAACATTAAAAGGTAAAAATGTAAAATGAACCATTTTTGTGATTTTCATTTTCATAAAATAAATAATTAATTAATTAATCCTAAAAAATATTAAAAAAATCTAAATGCAATGCATGATATTTTGGTATTTTTCATGATTTTAATAAGAATTAAACATGCACAAAAATGCAATCAATTAATAAAAATCCTATAAAATGGCAAATAATTGGAAAAATTTATTTTCTTTGAATTTTTATAGGAGCATTTCGTATATGGCAAAAATCACGTGCTCACACTCAATAGTTCAAAAGAACTCAACATAATTAGTTAATGAGACGTTAAAATTTGATCTTTTATGGAACATATATACATCAAGAACATTTTATCAAGCAAAATAGGATGATATTACATGTTTGCATAACTTAATCATTTCGCGTACAACAATTAAGTCGGTCGAATATGCTTATTAGTTATTATTCATCAATTTGAACTTGCATTTTCCCCTTTAAAATTCATGTTACTCATTACAAACATATTTAATATATTTATATTATTTAAGAAGTTTATATTAATTGACATGTAACACACGTGCTCCAGAAATTAATAAAGAAATAAATGCAAATAATTATTGCGCTAGAAGTTTCTTATAATATAGGAGGCATAACTTGATCTTGTTAAATGAAAATCAATTATGAGCTAAAATTTATTTACCCCCGCCTATAACCGCCACCAAATCATGATCATAAAATTGAGATTTAATCAAGTCAAAGAACATTATAGTTGAAATATGAGAAAATGTTGGAGCTTAATCTTCCTATATGTTAAGCCAGCACTTTATACAAACCAATTCTTTTTTCTTTTAATTCCCTTATAATTGATACTAGTATTTTGTAACTGGAAAAGCAGGCAACTTTTACCAGAAGAATAAGACGAACTAATTATTCAGAGGAACATAAACACGGGTCTCCCAATCCTATTTGCAACAAAATAAGAGATAAATGATCTCTGAATCAAACAAACCTAAGCATTTCATAAGTTTGAAAATAACAAACCCAAAGAAACCATCAAATAACCAGTCACTTAGAAGACCTAATCACATCATTCAAAACAGTAGCTTCAGCAAAATAAATCTGCATTTTTCCCCTAAATTTAATGATTTAATAGAAGCAATGCTTTACGCCAATTTTTTTTTTTACCTAATTCAATCCTATGTCAAAACCCTAAACACTACTTTGAGTCCTGAGCTTGTCAAACCTTAAATATTGAAGATGTTACATACTTCCGCAAATTGTAGTTTTGAATTCGAACTTTTGTAATCAGAATCTCATAGCAAGAAGTAAAAGACTGAATCTTAAGGAGGAGAATGTAGAGTTTACCGGAGAAATTGGACGCCGGCGGGCGAAGTGAACAGAGATAGAACCACCGGAGTTAACTTCGGTAATAGAAATAATAAGATAACGTGGAGTTACTATCAGTGTAGCCTACCTACATAAGAGGGTGTTTGGGTGGATTTTTGACTTATCAATTTGGTTTTGGTTACATAAAAAATGTTTTTAAGTCAAAAGATGCTAAAAATTACTACTACTACATAGAAGCATATGGACTCTTTTTCCTTGCTTTTTTGGGACTAATTTGAAACTTTTTTCTGCGAGTTTGATTTTGTATTGTAGTATTATTTAGTTTATGATGATTTCCTACAAGAAAGTAATAAATAATAAAAGAGATCTCTAAATAAAACATAAAAATTTACATAAGCTCATTTTTTTCTAGTTGTAAATGCTTAGAAGATCATTTCATACTCTTGGATATTCAAAATAGTCGATTAATTAAATTTATATGTCTATTTATCTTAGGTGTTTAGTAAATTTTATAACAAATTATTATACGGTAGAAATTGGGGCTACTCGATTTTATTCTTTGGTCGAGATAGGAATGTCACGTCAAAGAGCTAGGACGTCGAGTCTGGACCGTGGTCGACATTGATTGCGGCCAGAGAGAGGCAGACTTCGAGTGACATCGGCATAGCTTGATAACGGAAAAGACCAGATATCCGCGATTGGTCGAGGATCGTGGCGTGGATCTCGGAATGGATCAATCTACAGCGGTTAATAGATGTTATGGTTTCCTACTATAGTTAGAAGGGTACCTTATTTAGGACTCCTCTATTATATAAAGAGGGATCCCATTCATTTGTAAGGAGGATCATTGTTCGCTCATAAGAATACATACACTCATTATTGTCCTGCTATTTCACTTACTGTTCATCAGAGTTGCTTTATCATTTACTATTCTTACTATCCCACCTCAAGACTACCCCAAGTCAAGGTCAAGACCTGGCTAGCATACTGGTGTGATTTATTTTATTCTCTAATTTATTCATTTATTTCTTGCTTATCAATTAGTATTGAACGAAATCACATATCCTTAAAACCGCAATATAAGTTAATTTGTTATCCGAATTTGAGGGTAAACAGTTTGGCGCCCACCGTGGGACTAATATAATAGTGATTGTTTGGTGCTGATTCTGATAACACACATTATTTCACACTTGTTCTTGTCAACTATTTTTGCTCTCAGGTTAAAACATGTCAAACTCACAAAACGCACCCACACATGGTGATGATGGTCTCGGGTTTCACGGAGAAAACGATAATGTAATTGCTCCAGGAGCCGGGGTGCCACCGGCTAATCTCGGGGGAGCACTGGTTGCCGATCCAGTCGATGTTAGTTCGCATGTTGCTTTAAATGCGGACCTAGGTGCGACCTTGAAGGGAGTGTACGCAGAGAACGCCGATCTAGTGGCCAAGGTAAGTAGGGCAGAGGAGACGCAGGAGTTAGTCTCCAACTCAAGATGCAACAGGCTCAACCAGCTGATATTGCTCAGCTACAAAATCAACATAGAACTCCGAGCGGGGTTGAACCAGGAATCACTCGTCGTACCGAGCCAGTGCCAGAGAGGTCGAATGGTAACGAACCGGGGACCGATCCTACAATAATGAAAATGCTCGAGGAGCTCACCAAAAGAATCGAGTCATGAGAGAAGAAAATCGAAGCTAATGATAAAAAAGTGGAAACATACAACTCTTGAGTTGATCAGATACCGGGGGCACCATCAATCTAGAAAGGGATGGATTCAAAGAAACTTGTACAAAAGGCGTTGCCTCCGAGTGCGGATCCAAAACCCAATTCAAAGAAGTTTCGTATGTCGGACATACCTAAATACAATGGGACCACCGATCACAACGAGCATGTCACCTCCTACACATGTGCCATCAAGGGTAACGATTTGGAAGATGATGAGATCGAATCTGTTTTATAGAAGAAGTTCGGGGAAGTCATATCGAAGGGAGCAATGATTTGGTACCACAATCTACCGCCGAATTCCATTGACTTGTTTGCCATGTTGGCGGACTCTTTCGTAAAGGCACATGCTGGAGCCATAAAGGTTGCGACAAGGAAATCAGACCTTTTCAAAATAAGACAGAGGGATAATAAAATGTTGAGGGAGTTTGTATCCCGATTTCAAATGGAACGCATGGAGTTTCCACCGGTCACAGATGATTGGGCCGTTCAAGCTTTCACTCAGGGATTGAATGAACGAAGTTTGATAGCATCACGTCAGCTGAAGTAAAATTTGATCGAGTATCCGGCTGTAACTTGGGCAGATGTACACAATCGGTACCAATCGAAGAGCAGGGTCGAGGATGACCAATTAGGAGCTCCTTTCAGTTCAGTGCACTCAAATAGGTCAGCAACCAAAACTCAGAGGACATCGACAGGGAGCCAAGGCGAACAAAGATCGATATCAACCATACATTTCAGATCGCAGGAACAGTAGTCCAAGATGCAATTCCACCCGGAACAATCGAAGAAGCGATTGAGGACAGAATTCTCGGGGACTCATGAGCAAAAGCGGTTTTGGTAAGTATGCCGATCCCACAGAGGCACCTCGATTGTCGGAATATAATTTTAGTGTCGATGCGTCAAGCATTGTATCGACAATTGGAAGAATCAAAGACGCCAGATGGCCCAAGCCCATACAGACCGATCCTTCCCAAAGGAACCCCAATCTGATGTGTAAATATCATGGCACGCATGGTCACAAAACTGAGGGTTGCAGGCAATTGAGAGAGGAGGTAGCCCGTTTATTCAATGAGGGCCACCTTCGAGATTTCCTAAGTGATCGAGCCAAGCATCATTTCAAGGAAAGGGACGCCAACAGAAAAAATGAACATGAGGAGCCGCAGCATGTAATTTATATGATCGTCGGAGGGGTCGATATTCCACAAAGGCCCGTATTCAAACGCACTATGGTATCAATTACTAGGGAGAAACAGACCTGGGATTATATGCTAGAAGGCACCGTATCATTTAACAACGAAAAAGCAGAAGGAATCTCTCAGCCTCACAATGACGCTCTAGTAATATCTATCTTATTAAATAAAGTTCAAGTTAAGCGTGTTTTAGTAGATCCAGGTAGCTTGGAAAATATCATCCGATCAAGGATCGTGGAACAGCTCAGCCTACAAGATTAGATCGTGCCCGCAGCTCGGGTCTTAAACAGTTTCAATATGGCCAGTGAAACAACTAAAGGAGAGATTATCCTACCGGTAAAAGTGGCTGGAACTATCCAAGAAACCAAGTTTCATGTGATCGAGGGCGACATGAGGTACAACGCCCTGCTCGGGAGGCCTTGGATCCACAACATGAGGGCAGTACCTTCGACTCTCCAC